TATAATATTTGATTGTAAAAATAAAATGTTAATACTCTTTCTACTCTACATGCTATACCTATGCTGTGTAGCATCAAAAATAGTTAACACTAGAATAGTAAACTTTGTATGTGTATATACCAAATTAAAAATACAGGGAGTTCTGATGTTATGCTACTGAAATGCTGATTTTTTTCATATGGAATGTTTTTAGATTATGCAGTACAGTATAGAAGATATTCTATGGATATTCAGCAAAATATCTAATAGGTACCTTTAGTAGAGGTTCATAAGTAACCAATGAATATATCCTATAGATGTTTAACATATCCAGTGTACATCCATTATTTGATATATTTATTAAGATATCGAAAATTATATGCCTATAGGGTATCGTAATTAATGATTCATTAAAATTTTTTTGAAAGTTGAACAATACTTATCTTTCAAAAAAAAAAAAAAAATTAATGAAGCATTAAATACGACACTCTATAGACATATAATTTTCGATATCTTAAATATATCAAATAATGGATGTACACTGGATATGTTAAACATCTATAGGATATATCCATTGGTTACTTATGAACCTCTACCATAGAAATAGTATAGAAAGCCGATTCCATGTATCAAAAATGAAACCATAAGGAGAAAATAGTGTGTCGGAGCTCATGCGTATAACGGTGCTGGCGCGAACAGGACCGGTGCAAGTTTTTTATTGATCGAACAAATAGTTCGCACGATATTTCAATCATACAAAAAACGATTAAAAAAATTTCAAGTTAAGGTAAATATGGTTCTGACAGTCCTTATTAAGAAAGATATGGCATAAAATATGAATTAGTTAATTGTCGGCAATCATTAGTACAGTAGTCATGAGATTTTGCTTGTGATTTTAAAAATACTTTCCAGAAAAACCACGTGCTCCGGTTTTGACTACGTTTATTATTAAACAGCGAAATTATATACAAAAACTTTAATCCACAATCTAAATTAGGTACTATCACAAGAAAATCACTGTTACAATAATTAATTACTTAACCAAAAACTAAAATACTTTTTAGGTACCTACGTAACCAGAAAGGAGCTGGACCATTTATCCTAATATTGATTTTCTCTCTCCCTACGGTAAAACTTAAAACAATAACAAATTGCCTATCCACTAGGGTCGGTAACTAAACGTATATACATAATGGGCGGATTTTGTTTATACTTAACATTACACTCGCGCATTTAAATATAACTATGCATATAAATATTTACAAACAAATATACTTTTCCAAACAGGCAATCATTAGTACTGTAGTCACGAGATTTTGCTTGTGATTTGACATCTTATTTGATAATATCATTTGCTACAACTAAATTTAATCTGGGGAGTGCAAAATAGGGCCCAGGAATATTATGTTCGATATTTTTTTACATTTTGTCAGCCGAGACTATGAGTCGTTAGACAGAAAACCTTTCATGTTACCATTTTCAATATAAATTAAAAAATTAAAAAATACTACTACATTTACTTGGTACATATTTTATTTTAATTTTGAACCCTTTTAAAAGGGTCTTTCGGTTCCATAATAAAAATTAGTTGCTGCTTACTAGAAACATTCTATATAGCCTAAACCAATTTATAGTTTGTTTTCGATCAATTTAATACAAAGATTTAAAGTTTTTAGTCGATGATAACATTCCACACCAGCACATTGCAAACCTATTTTATAAATAATAGGAATAAACTTGTAAATCATTAATTTGGTAGTTATCTCACTCATATGATTTTTTTGTTTAAATGAATATTTCGATGTCTAAATATATTTTGGCCTTACAATACGAAGCGTTTTGTATCTACCACTTTTTTAATGAACGATGAATGTTGACAGGCGTGTACCTTTTTCGGAACAAGAGGCGTTTTAACGAAGGAAATGATTTTCGAACTATCTAGTTAGTTTTCGGAAAAATAGAAAACGTTTGAAGAAAGTTGTCAATAACAGTTTGTCGTTCATGTGTTTCATTTTGATCAGCTTTCATACTAAATTGCGTAGAATATTTTTCCGATTCAAAATCGAGATTCTCGATATTTCCACAGTTTATTTATAATACCTTCTAAACTGGATTTATCTATCATTTTATATACTTTATAATATATGTTCATGCCCTACTTTTCACTTTATTAACAATTTTTTTTTAACATACTTCAAAATGGTAGGATATTCTCAATTCGTTGAAATATTTTTTTATGTATGTTGAGCGATAATTCTTTACCACGTTGCCCGATTTCTAGGATTATTTTTGTTAGAAAAGGAAACAGTTTTATATACATTAAGTCAAGATCTGAAGATGGGATCCATAAGAAAATCATTAACATCTTTATTTTTAAAGTAGGTTTTTTTTTTAAATTTCTTTAAACCTGACTGGTTCGAACGCCGTAAGGAATGAAGAAATGTAAATAGTTGTTGTGCCAGCCAAAAAACGAAGAGGAAGTACCGATTAAAATATCGAGTGACAGAAGAGTTCCTAAGATTGTTGAGATCGGGTTTATGTTTTAAAATGCTTTAAAACCGATATCGATAATGTCTCCCCGTCGCTGGGCAGCCTGTATATAAATATACAGATCTCTATTTACATAATTATAATTCTTAGGTAGGTTTAGATTTGCAGACATAAATCTTGTAATAAATATAACAGCTGCCTAATACATTGATTACATTTTCATTAGCCAATGTAAAAATGTCTTTTATTGTACCTAGGATTTGACTAAACACTACACAAAACTAAAAATAAAATGCCACTTTCATCGTGTAATTAATGCCGCGTTTGAGAATCCACATCGGATGCATTTTTTACATCTCGAGCGTTTTTTATCCACATCGGACACATCTGTCCCATTACATTTACGTATACTGAATCACGTGATCAAAGATTTACTACTTACTACATCTCAGATGCATCCGATGTGGATTCTCAAACGCGGTATAAATAATAAACTACAAACGGTCCTGTAAGGGCAGCGTCATATAGCCTTGAAACACCGGATTTTAGTGCTATTGCCAGGTCAATATTGAATTTGTAGGTGAATCGCTTATTGAACATTAAAAATACGGTATTAATGACATTTATACGGTATTTGTATATATTTTTGGGAATGTAATTACACATAAATATTATTAGTTGATTATTTAAATGTTTATAAGTTATTTTGTGGCGATATTTCGTAGATATAAACTGTTTAAATCATATAATTTAAAAATTAATTAATTTAAAATTCTTTTCTGTTAGGTATGTTTAATATATTTGGCAACACTACAGGGACAAGTCATGCATATTGCGCAAGCTTCTAGACACACTATTTTGCGATGTCAGGCGCAGAGACGCGTTTTTATGCACAGTAGGTTTCAATTTCTGCTTAAATGTTATGTTTATATTGGTCTTCTATATTATTTCTATGACCTCTACTGAAGGTACCTATTAGATATTTTGCTGGATAACCATAGAATATCTTGGATATAGACGGACATTTGGATATCAATAATAGATCCAGTGGATATCTATGATATCCTGTGGATATTTTGGATATCCACAAAAGATATTCTGTGGATATCTCTGGGATTTCGTGTATTGTCTGGGAGATACCCATTAGATATTTTACTGGATATCCATAGGATATCTTCTATATCCTGGATATAGACGGACATTTGTGTATCCATATTAGATCCACAGGCTATTTATGATATACTGTGGATATATTAGATATCCACAAAAGATATTCTGTGGATATCTCTGGGATTTGGTGTGTTATCTGGGATAGTTATTAATCCTCAAAAAATAAAGAGCGGGGGACAAGAAATGTTTAAAAAAAGGCCGGTTTTCACTCTTGTAATCAATTTTCCTCATTTCTTGAAAATTATTAGACTATTAAAAATAAAAAAATATATTCGAAAAGTAGACCATCTAAGCTTTAAAATGATGTGCATTGGAAATCAATATAAGGGACCATAAGATTATAATTCGCGCTTGTTCCGAAGATTTTATGGAACTCCGAAATCGGCTAAAACATGTAAATAAACAAATTAATTTTGTATTATAACGCAAGAAAAGTATTACAAAAAAAATTCTGAGATCATTCAAGACCCCCCAAGGTCCCATTATAAAGGCAAAATTAGAATAAATTATTATTTTCAAAGAAAATATGAATAAATTAATGAAGCAGTCTCTAAATATTGTTGAAAAAAACTTTGACAGCTTTTTAAAATATTTTTGGCAAATACGAACTGACTTCAAGTTACATAGGATTGTAGCTACCATATCAATTTTTTCCCGAGATATGGAACAATTCTTCCGCCCGCTTACACGTTAATTCATAGAAAGCGCAATTCCTGCAGGTAGAGCAGCAGCTGAAATGAGGTGATTTTTGAGTGCCATTATCTCGAAAACTATTAAATTTTCGAAGAAAATGATAAGGGCCATTTTTGTAGATAATGAGCTGATCTTCATTTTTTGTCTGAACAAAAATTCTCTAATTGGCATATTCAGTCAGATATTAGAGGGAAACCCATTTTCCAGGTTTTAGGGGTTCATTTTCAGCCCCTTCCGGTACCAAGAACGCGTTAAGGATTTTCTCGTTTAAAAACACCTGCGATGACCTACAAATTGCGCTATGTGGGAACGAATTTTCTACAGGTTTGACCCTTCAGTTAATGGGCTAATATGCATAGACCTAGCTACACATATTTAATTACTGGGTATTAAAGTAGGTCCCGTTTTTTTAAAATTATTGCAAACTTTTTTATTAAATACTCTGTTAAATCTTGTTTTCGAATTGTTTTTAGAGTCCCATTTTTAAAATTGTGAATAGTAGTAGCTCATAATTAAAAAAATTAAGTTTATCTTACCAAAAGTGTTTGAGACATTCTGTATATGTGAAACAATTCTTTAAATGTGGACCTAGCCACTTTACAACTTTATTTTGACCCCGTTAAATTTAAAGAATTGTAAAAATATCTGTTTACTTAATACACTTGTAGGGTGCACAAGAATTCATAGTTCCGACTAGGTTTCCAGGTCAATTCTATTCACTTGTACAAAGTCCTCAGCAGTTCAAACAAATGTTAATGGCAGGGGCAATCGACAAATACTTTCAGATCGCTCGATGCTACAGAGATGAAGGTGCAAGGTAGGCATGTACAAAAAATTAAATGAAGACAAATAAATTAAAAATGCACTTATATTTTCAGGTCAGATAGACAACCTGAGTTTACCCAGTTAGATATAGAAATGTCTTTTACCGGAGTAGATGAAGTTATACAATTAATAGAAGATTTAATTGTGTATTGTTTAAAAGATGATTTAAGTAATGGAAACTCGAGGTTTAAGAGAATTTCTTATGACGAAGCTATGGAAACGTATGGTTCTGATAAACCTGATACATCATTTGATTTTAAAGTAATGATAAGGAAATATAATTAATAACTTAAGAATGTGACTGGTATTTATTTAATTATACAAAAGCAGCAGCTTCACAAATGACCCGATGATGTGTCTAGTAATTTTATTTATTTGTTTGCTAACTGCTTCTTTGTAAAACAAGTTTCTAGCAGTCTTAAATAAATTTGAACATTCTTTTATTAACTTCAACATAATTATTAATCCAGTTTAATGAGTTTTTACTAATTAAAATATTGGTTGTTAAAGATTATTCAATATTTTATTTAAATTACTTAAAGGCTGTTAAATGTAAAAAGAAAAAGTTCAATCAAGTGTTTTTCTTGCAGTCATTTTTGAATCGCCTGCGATTTCAAAGGAATTAGAATTAACAAACTATACTAGACAGTATGTTTCAGGTTTTTCATAAAAAAACTGTGGACTATGTGACTGGTATTTTTATGGGAGAATAACTATTTTCTATAGAAACTGAGTGGTGCAATACAAATAAATATATTATAATGTGCCCTTTTTAATGAAATAAGTCCTGATTTCCAATTGTGTTTTAGTTAAGGAATTGCACAGATTTATTTAAGAAAAACTTAAAACCGGACGATGATAAGAATTTTGGAGCTTACTTTTTATCATTTCCTGCAGAATATGCAAATACCAATAACAAAATGAAAGAAATTATTCGAAAAATATCTGACAAGTGTAGTACAGTCAAATTTCTACAAATTATGGTTAAAAATAGCGAACAATTTATTAATAAGGTTGGGAGATTATTAGGAAACAACACAGCAGCTGAATTTTTACAAGAAAATAATATTTCGGATAATTCTTTGGTGTTTTTGGCTTATGGAAATAAAAAGGAATCGGTGAGTAGATAATCTAAAAATATTTTAAAACTGATTTACCTATATTTAATTTTTTAGTATAAAAATAAACTAAAATTTTTGTCAGATTATAAAATATTCATATATAAATCGTTTATTTAGTCAAAAAAACTATGTTTTACATGTCAATACATTTTCACATAAAAAATACATAAGATACAGTACACTTACATGTCAAATATACAAAACATAATAAAAGAACACGAAAAAAAAAAACGTCAATTGGTCAGCAAGTACTCACGCAGTTTTCTTTTAAATATTGCTGCGTTTGAAGAACATTTAATATCTTTAGTCAAATTATTAAAAGCCTGTACCCAAACAACACACCAAATCCCAGAGATATCCACAGAATATCTTTTGTGGATATCCAATATATCCACAGGATATCATAAATAGCCCGTGGATCTAATATGGATATCCAAATATCCGTCTATATCCAGGATATTGTTACGTTTTAATAAAAAAAATGTTTTATAAAAAATGTTACGTTTATAAAAACTGTTATGTTTACAAAGTTACGTTATAAAAACATATTTTGCACCAGATGATACGTTTCTAACCCTTACCTGGGTCTCATTGTAAAAATCCTTATAATAAGAATTCTTACAAGCCTCAAGCCTAGCTCAGATCAAAATAGGTCAGTGGGATTCGTTTAGAATTTACCTTCAAGTCAATGACAAGTTCTTTAATTAAAAAGACTTAAAAGAATTCAATTAAATTAATTTGGGCGCCATACCTTTAGATGTACAATAAAAGTAAATTTGTCATTAACTGTCAGTTGAAAGTAAGGAAAAAATAAAGAACTTAAATTTCAAAACAATTAATCGGCTTTAATTTCAAATTGAATTGACTGATATTACAATAAAAAGAAAATAAAATTTATTGATTTTAACAAATTTTACGGTTTACGTTATTTGACTGATAATGAGTTTAAAATTAAAATTGACTAGTATGACTATGACTCAAAAATTGTATGTGTGGTCCTGGCCGACACTTATCTTGTGTTTCCGGATTTCAACGGTCGAACTGGTCCGTGTCGCTGTCTTAATGGTAGCTCAGCCTACGATGACTTCTCAATATTCTGCAGTTCTAAAATGTAACTCAGCTTACAATGACTTAAGAGATTCTGCAGTTCTAGATGTAACTCAGCTTACAATGACTTAAGAGATTCTGCAGTTCTCAGCTATAAAGGCCAACTCCTCAGTCGCTACAGAGCCAGTTCCTTAATTTTAAGAAAGAAAAAAAAAACGTGTCAGTTACAACAAAAAAAAACATCTTTCCATTTCTTAAAAAAAAAAAAAAAAAATGTGGTCAGCCATAAACTTGCTATTTAAATTAAACATTTTTAAATTGAACATTTCAAGTTAACAACAATACTAGAGATTTGCAATAGTATTTAAATTAAAATACATGAAGAATGGAAAGATTTTTTTAAATAACTGAGAAAAAAAAAATAAAATTAATGGCAGCCATTTTGTACATTTTGGAATTTATATTACGCGAAAAGCTCACTATTAATGAATGAGATAACTCAAAGATAATTTCAGCAGAATATACACACACAATAAAATTAATTTCTATCATTCATTATAAAAAAAAAAGATTCGATTACCTTAGTTTGTTCGGACACACTTAAACAAAGCACTAAAACCAACCGGTTTATTTCGCTACTAGATTGAAAAATAATTTCAAAAGCCAACAGCTGACCGAATGTGAAACAGTATTCCACTTCCAGCCAAGCGTGCGCACAACCTCTGACAATAATTATTGATTTTTAGAGAAGGAGCATCATTGGTTGAGCCATCGAATGTCTCAGACAGAGACAAATTCCCGTTTTAACATAATATCTATATTTCCAAATACGAGGGGCGCTCAAAAAGTATTAGAATATATTGGAATATTTGAACTAATTAAATATTGTAATTATTAAAAGGGAATGACGATTACAACGTAACAATATAGAAGCTATCCTATGGATATCCAGTAAAATATCTAATGGGTATCTCCCAGACAATACACGAAATCCCAGAGATATCTACAGAATATCTTTTGTGGATATCCAAAATATCCACAGGATATCATAGATATCCACTGGATCTATTATGGATATCCAAATGTTCGTCTATATCCAAGATATAGAAGATATTCTATGGTTATCCAGCAAAATATCTAATAGGTACCTTCAGTAGAGGTTCATAAGTAACCAATGGATATATCCTATAGATGTTTAACATATCCAGTGTACATCCATTATTTTATATATTTAAGATATCGAAAATTATATGTCTATAGAGTGTCGTATTTAATGCTTCATTAATTTTTTTTTTGAAAGATAAGTATTGTTCAACTTTCAAAAAAAATTTAATGAATCATTAATTACGATACCCTATAGGCATATAATTTTCGATATCTTAATAAATATATCAAATAATGGATGTACACTGGATATGTTAAACATCTATAGGATATATTCATTGGTTACTTATGAACCTCTACTAAAGGTACCAAACCGTATCACCAACAATAATACAATACCTAAATCACACAAAATAAGTAGGTTTATGAAGGTAGGGTTATCGTAAAAACGACATAAATTTCTAGCGAATAACCTACAAAAGACACGGATTTTAACGTAAATTGTATCATACAACCTACTTAATAATCTTAATAACGTGAATTTAACTATTGTCTTATTAAACTAAAGTCTATCAACCTTTTACACTAATAAATTTAGATTTAAAAACTAACTTACTTTCTTTTAATCCACACTTATCAAATAAAACTCATTCACGGTATTCACAGGACGCAAACAAACTATAAAATGGCCGATGCCGATGGTAGAGATGCGCACGATGTATATCGATGTTTAGAAAACATCGATTTTTAGGTTTCGATTATCGATGTTTAACATCGATGTTTTTTATTCCGATGTTATTTGTTAACATCGATTTTTCAATTCACATCGATGATTTTATTTTCAATGTTTTTTGGTTTTTTGTAAAGCGTTACGTTTCAATTGATGGTTTGAATTCGTTTTTTTTGCTCTTCAATGAACACTTTTGGAAAACATCGATGTTTACAGACACAGCGATGTATGGAAAAACAAACATCGCTATTTAGAAAAATCGATATTTTCTTTTCCGATTTTTTTACCATATCGATAGTCTGTATTTGATGTCAACATCGATGTTTTAAAAAATTTTCGCATTCCTAGCCGATGGCACTTGTGAGGGCAGGAAATATCCGCGCCTGCGCTCGCGTTCATTGCCAATATTATTTATCTACTTGATCTGTGAGATATTGAATACAACTTACTAATTTTAAATTTCTATAAACTATACCTACATACTTTTTTAGTTATCACATGGCGTAATATTTAAATAATTTAATAATTATTAAATCAATTTGTATATTTTATGTACAAATTATATCCATAAATTATACATCCAGTGAATATCCACCATGATTTGCGTTCGCGCCTAGACTTTGATATATTTAGTGGATATCCATGTGATATTGAATACATTTAAAAAAAAAACTTATTTGAAATATCTAAATGGTACTATTAGCCATAATGGCGTAATTTTTTAATAATTTCTGATGGAATTACTATAATTTATGGACATTTGCATGTCTATAAATTACATCTCATGGATATAAAATAAATATCAACCATGGACTGGACATTCAGTGGATATTGGGATGTTCAGTAGATATCCAAAGGATTTGGTGTGCTGTCTGGGTACACATTTAAAAAACACCGAATTTTGTGTACATTTTTTCGTGGCATTATAAACTCTAAATTTTTTTCTTATTTCGTGTATTGTGTTCATGATTATAACTTAAAATATTTTGTAAATATACTGGGGAGATTATTCGTTTAAAAAATAAATCTCATTTGTTTTAGTTGTCGTTATTAGGTAAAGTGAGGATAGAATACGTAAACTTCTTGGAAAATATTGCTATAAATATCAGAGAAAAAGGATTGCATTTTTTATGGGTGGTAGATTTTCCTCTATTTGAAGTATCTGAATCAGATGGACGCTTACAATCTGCTCACCACCCTTTTACAGCTCCCCACCCGGATGATTTGCATTTATTACAAAACGATCCTCTTAAGGTAAAATTAAATTCGCTTTTTGAATATTTTTGAATTTAACATTTACTTTTTAGGTTAGAGCTTTGTCGTATGATCTAGTCCTAAACGGCAATGAAGTAGGGGGTGGTTCTATACGTATTCACGATCCTAATTTACAAAAGTCAGTTCTGGATTTATTAAAAATCAATCACGACACTATGCACCATATGCTAGAGATGTTGGAGTCGGGGTGTCCGCCCCATGGAGGTATTGCACTTGGATTAGACAGATTACTTTTAGTTTTACTCGGTATGACCAGTATTAGAGATGTTATAGCATTCCCGAAGAATTACGAAGGCAGAGACCCTATTAGTGGAGCTCCTAGTTATATTTCTGATAGTGATAAAAAATTATACCATATAAAAACTGTTGATAATGATAAAAAATAAATCATAATAGCTATTTACGTAATGTGTTACATGCAAGTTTTTTTTTCTTAATTTTTTCTAGATTATTTATAAAATTATGTTTAACAAAAAAAAATTGTTAGGAAATAAATGTCGCACTTAGGTAAATATTGGAAAGACGCAATTTTCTTAAGACTGCTACAAAAACTAAGGCGACACAATGTTACGTGAAATTAATTTAAAATGTATTTTTAACAACAACTTCTCCATAAGACTTTTGCTTTGACATCCAAAGTGTAAACATCGCTGTCAGTGAAAATCTAACAATATTTTGTTATTTGGGCTTTACTAACACCATCCTGTGTATTTTCAACCTTTTCCTTCCTCATATTTTTAGTAAGTAATTGTATATAAACATATTTTTGTGATTTGCCTAACAGAAAACAAATATTAGAGGTTAACTTAACCTGCTCCAACCCACATGGAGTTGGGGGGTCAAGAATCCGCCGGATCCTCCGCCGAGTGTTAAAAACTTGTATTCGACCACAGACTCGGGTCCCTTCGAAGTAGGGCTGCCAGATTTTCAGAAATGAAAAGCGGGAGGTTTTAATTTTTAAAAAAACAATTATTTTAATTAAATATACCCTCTAAATATACACAGATATTATTGTAGCATCAACAAAAAAAAAACGAACAAATTTCAATGCTCAATTAATAAAACATTTTCAACAAGTCTACATACAAAGTACCTATTCGAAAAATTCTGAATTTTGGTATCATTTTTGGCAATCTTCATGTCACAACTGTAAATTTATATAAACAAACAGTTAAAAAAAATTAACAATAGATGGGTTCACACTTGAACTATAAGTACAAAGTATAATACTGAAAAATAATTTTTTGCTTCGCTTCTGTTTGTGTTTACAGAATCACGGCACCTGGTGTATTCTGTAATATTGATCGCTATAACTTTGGATGTCTCTTAGGGCCACATACTTTGATTTAATCAAAGTATGTGCTTAGGGCCGATTCCACCGTTGTGTTAAACGGAGATTAAAATGACATTGTTAATGTAAAAATGTCATTTTAAACTTTGTTTAACACAACGGTGGAATCGGTCCTTATATAAATAAAATAAATAAAATTCTCAAAAAAATGTCAAATTCCTATTGTAACCAATTAATTATTCTAAAATTACAAATATTTTGAACTGTTTCTTACTCTACCAAGAAGACTTCTCCCTTCCTTTTGCACATTCTTGGCAAGTTTCAGTATAAATCAATCATTATAGTTCAGATTTTAATGTTTCTATTCGCTCCGTGCGTGACAGCAGCGCCAATTTATTTATGTACTAATGAACTATTTTTGCGTATACTTACTATTTTTAATAGAATTCGTAATTAAAAAGTATATATGTTAGTTTCAATAAAAGTATATTGATTTATAAAACAAAACATTAATTTATTATTATTATATATTTTTATCGCTTAAACTAAAAAAAATTAAGTATAATCAATAATAATAAGTGGTCTTTGGAGATTTAACCTATTCTGTCAAAATAAAAAAATACCAATAAATAATAGCGTGAAGTTAAAATGTATAAACAGAAGGATTGTTATTTATATTTTCATTTTTGTTCGAAAGAAAACATAGAATGAATGATTAAAACTGGTTTCCTATCAGTAAATTACAATATTGCATTCCGGCCACATACAATAATCAAAGGCAGAAATCTAGTTCTTGCTAAACATTTAAGATAAAAGGGATGTTGAAGAACATCGAGAAATGATAATTTATTGTTTATGATGTCTACTATTTCCAGTATAACTGTTATTATTACACAAATAAAGATAATTTATCTTCTTATTGTACACTTATCCATTTATTTCTTTGATTTAATTTCCACTTTGCTACTAAAAATTTTTATAATTTAAACTGTCTTTTTGCTAGTATTTTTACAATTTTAAACACACCAACTCCAGTTGCTTATTGTATAGCTTTTACCTTTAAAAAAAAAAAAAAAGTAAAATGCTAAAATTTCAAAATATCGCGCTAAAATGCACGATTTATCCGCAGCTAGCGCTAGTATCGCTTTTGCTTTCCCTGCCATGACTTCGCACTGAGCGAATAGAAAGAGAATGTTTTTCTTTCCTCCAGGCTACCAACATTAGACTAAAAATTCTCTCTTTCATCGCGTTTGAATAAAGAAGAGAAAAAACAAGAGCAAATTTTGAAAAAATTTAATATTTAGTGGTAGGTTTTCCAAATATGATGATACCTTTTCATTTTTCTAAAATTAGGTCAATATCTACACCAATGGCAAACTCATCAGAAATTTTTAAGAAGTCGTCCAATTTAGGGTTTGTTTTCAAATCCATCGCCCCCAGACATATAAAAGATAGCTAGAGATTACAACGTTTTTAGATATGAGGGAATGACCGATACTTTGATAGTATCGTTAGCATATTAATAATTTTTTAATGTCCATTCAATATAAATTCGGGGTAAATTAGGAGATTTCTAAAAATCGAGAGGTTTTTAGCTTAGTTTAAAAAGCGGGAGGGAGTGTGAGAAATCGGGAGGCTCCCGCCTAAATCGGGAGGTATGGCAGCCCTACTTCGAAGTGTATGTCCAAGGAAAAACAAATAATCTAGGAAATCTTCATATACTAAGTATAGCAAAAACCATTTTTAATATCTGAAACTGAAGGATATCCTCAAAGTACTAAGAAAAGGGAAAAACCGTATAGATGCGATCTTTACCAATGCTCAAGCTACCAACCAATTTATAGAGGATAAAGAAATGGAAAATAAAGGTTATAAAGTTTTCATTCCATCACACAATGTCTCTTGCAAAGGGATTGTAAGGTATGTGAACAGATCCTTTACAGATGATGAAATTAAAGAGGCAACTAAAACTCATCCCAGACAGCACAAAGACATCTTTAAGACGTCCATAAGACGTCTGTCAGAGATATGACAGACGTCTTATGACTCCGGCCAGACGTCTTAATAGGTGCGTTTTAATCATCCGCTTCTGCTTCGGAATTGTCGGTTTTCTTGTTTTAATCTGACAGGTTAAAACGACTAAACCGACAATTCCGGAAGCAGAAGCGGATGATTAAAACGCACCTAAGGACATCTTTAAGACGTCTGATGCTACAAAAGGTAACGTTCTTAAGATCTTGAATATGTCTGTTTTTCGACATTAGTAAGACGTACCCTCGGATTTAGTTTTAAAAGCTTCTGTAAATTCCTTCTATACAAAATAAAACACATATTTTCTATAAACATTATTAACAAAATACTGAAACATTTCGTTAAAAAAAGTAATATTAGGTACAAATAATTTTTTTTGGATTCTTCCTCCATTAGTGGTTAATCTTCTGTCTGATGCTCTTCGGATCCAGTCTGGGTTGCAATAATTTTAACTGTGCTGTGTAAAATATTATGCATTATAGCTCACTCTGTCAAATTCGTTTTAATAGGATTTTTAGTAGATAGTAGGGTCTATTCTGTAACAATTTATATTTAACGGTCTTTAAAAATATTGGCGGCCTATAAAAACATGGCCAATAAGGGCCAGGTACTTAGCTTTGCCGATGATACCGTTGTTTTCTATTCGGCAGATACGTGGAAGGACTTAAAGGTATTAGTTGAGGATGACTTAAAACACCTTTTTAATTGGTTTGATCATAGGCTTCTTACTGTTAATTATCATAAAACACACTTTTTATCTCTAACAAGTTACGAAAACAATCTTCCTAACTATAATACTCTAAACATAATATATAATAGCAAAAATATTGAAATTAAATCAGAAAAAAAAGTTAAGTATTTGGGTATCACAATTGATTGTCACCTAAGGTGGAATCATCATATAAATAAGGTAGTTAATACATTAAGAACATTTCTATATAAATTTAAATATCTTACAAATATCCTGGATTTACCTTACCTAAAAATGTTATATTATGCTTTGGTGGAATCGAGAATAAACTATGGAATCATTGGCTGGGGTGGAGCAACTAATGTTTATCTAGAAAAAATTGAAACTATTCAAAAATTATTCTTAAAAATTATTTATAAAAAAAATCGTACTTACCCCTCGGACCAACTATACAAAGAATTAAAAATATTAGATCCTAAAAAACACTTTTTCCTTAAAATTGCCAACTACTACTATAAAAACCCAACTAGCCTTAATATTGTTACTCATGAACACGAAACAAGACGAAAAAACAAAATTAAATATAAAGACTTAGCATCTCGCAAAACTGTAGGCCAAAAATGCCACTTCTTCTTAGCATCAAAAGTGTTAAATTATTTACCTCCAAAAATTCTAAAATCAAAATCATTATCGCAATTTAAAACAAGAACAAAAAAATTTTTATTAGAAGAATATAGAGCAAATATCAGAAATATTATTGATATGAATATCGACAGATAAATGAAAAATAAAAAAAGAATAAAAAAATTTATTAAAAAAAAAAAAAATAAATAAAATAAAAAATAATGAAAATTAAAAAAAAAGCGGCAAATTTCTCTATTATTATGTGTCAGTATTTGTATTATATTAATTAATTGTAAAATAAAACATAAAATAGTACTTAACATATCTCTACACACGCCACGGACAGTTTTTATACTTTGTGGCAATGGGTAGTTTATTTGTATGTACCTAAAAAAAAAAAAAATATATATTTATATTATTAAAAAAAAAAAAAATGTATTTAAAAAAAAAATTTTATTATATTTAATTTTTTGTACATTTTTCAAATAAACTTTTATTATTATTATTATTATTATGTTCGTATTCGTTAATTTACTTCTGTCATTATTTAAACAGATTTCTTTAAGATAGTCCTCTAATGTATTTTAAAGATCCGTTTAAATAATGACAGAAGTAAAGAAGAAATTATTTTTAAAGGCCGTTAAATATAAAGGAATTGTTACAGAATAGACCCCAATGTGGGTTAAGGGTGATCAAAGAATGGCAATCTTCATAGGTTTGTTCGTAGAGCGATCCACAACCGTTTCCAACTGAACAGCGCATGCGCATTGATTATTTTGCGTTCGTAGAAGAATCACTGATAGTTTCCAATTATTAATTTGGTGTTCGTAGAAACAAATGAAGTAATTGCCAACTGAATGGAAACGGTTGGAAAAATCCCTATTCTCCGAATTTTAAATCCGGGGCATGCGTACATGAATTATTTTTAATAACCTACAATTTGACATTTGTTTGACTTGAAATTTATGTCCGTTTATGTGTTTTTAATTCGTCAATACTTATATTGATTTGATTAGTTGTTTTTATAAGTGCAATTAGTACAGATACATAACAATTAATAAATAACATAAGACCACAAAGACCTACCATTCAGTATCCTGATAAAATATCAGCCTTTAACTTTAAAACAGGTAATAAAAGTAAAATATGTTGATAAAATGGGAATTTGGGTGCAAATTATAAATACAATTTCTTCTTTTTTTTAACCGTTTACTAAATCTATATCTAATTCACGAGAATAGTAGAGAAGAATCCACAACTGTAAAACATGCGTTCGCAGAGCACAAAAATGACAATAAATCCCAAACCGTTGAAAATCGCGCATGCGCATCATAAAAGAATCACCAACCGTTTGAAACTGTCTACGAACAAACCTCATGTACTTTCAACTCTAATTCAGATATATTTACATCCGATGAAGCTTCTAAGTCAGCTCTAGATGCCTAGACGTACTTAATTATCCTTCCTCCATGCTTAAAACACTAATAAGGGTTCTTCTATTTGGTTTTTCAGTATATGCAGTAAACTTTTATGGTTATAAATTCACAGTAACCCACGGCACAAGACACAAAAAAATCAACGAAAACCAATGAACTGGAGTGGGGTAGAATGCTTGTCAATAGGCTTGAGATGCGACTCTATGGGCGAAGACAGGTTATTTTTCATCTCACTCGGGAGTATTTATAACGACCATTTTCTATTTCACTTTGTTATTGTCTGATCCACCAGCCTGTGGATTGAACAATAACAATGTGAAACAGAAAATGGTTATTATAAATACTCCCGAGTGAGATGAGAAATAAAAATGGCTGCGCCCATAGAGTCGCATCTTGTTCAATTGATTAGCTTTCTACCCCACTCCAGTTCATTGACGAAAACGAACAAAAACTAACCTCTCGGCTTCTACTTCTTTTCTTTTAATGGGCTGTGTCCATGAGAACCTCTCGGCTTCAAGTGCCTACCAGTGGGCTTTGACGGGTTATGATATTGCAAAATTATGGCAACCCTGTAGACCTGGTGATTTGACAAGGTCAATGAAATAGATAATTACATATAGATTATCCATATTTTTCAAAATAAACAAGCGTATCCCTTGAAGTAAAAATGTAAGCAATTATTTTTTTTAAATATCTAAAGGCTAAAAATTGGTTTTAAAACACATTTTTACTAAACTGATTCAAATTAATAAATATTTACCAGGCAATATGGCCGCTCGTAAACGACCAGCTTTGAGCAATCTATATAACTATATACAGTGTGGAAACCACTTATGGAATAAAATTCTTTGTCATTATTTTAGAAAATTATAAAAAATGCCGAGACATGTCAACTTTTGAATTGAGTTGTGCGTTATGTAAACATAAATTTAAATGTACAGGGTGATTCCCGCAAGTATGCCATAGTCGGTGTTGTTTTTTTTTAATGAAACACCCTGTATATTTGCATACATACATTATTCAGTTTGTTGGAATCGGTTCATTAAGAGGATTTCAAAAATATGCAATATGCGTGAATCACCCTGTACATTTAAATTTATGTTTACATAACGCACAACTCAATTCAAAAGTTGACGTGTCTCGGCATTTTTTACAATTTTCTAAAATAATGACAAAGAATTTTATTCCATAAGTGGTTTCCACACTGTATGTATCATTGACCCTGTTAATGACAACAGGGTTGCCATATCTAAACTGTCATTACCCACTGGTAGCCATTTGGACAGGTCGTTGGAATGCCTAATAGTTACTTAGATAATAATAGCAGATAGGCCACCACTGCATAAAGTTATACAATATTAATCTCGCTATCATATAATCAGTATCTCTCTTTCTAATGAAGGCTTTCTCACTCGTTTTAGAATTCTCAGCAGTAGCGTACCGTAAAATAATTTCGCTGGGTCATTTTAAATGCGAAAATGTTGACCAAATAGAATATAAAATAAAATGTTTTAAAAGGTAGGTAGGTCCATTTTTAATGAAGTGAAAACAAAATATGACTTTTTTGTTATGAATATAATATTAATAACAATTACTTTTAACACCACAACACGAACAAATTTAAATTAAACACTGGAATAATTGTCTGAGAAAAGCTCTGTAAAACTGACAAATATAAACAAAGAGATATTAATCTATTTCTCTCTAATTAGAATTCTCGACCATATTATCATGGCGACACAAACATTGTTTACTGTCCTCTCTTTACTACTTACTTACTCTGAGGGTAGGCATTCAGTTTGGAATGCCTAATTTGGAAATATTTTCTGTAAGTGCTATATAATAAAAACAAATTACCCTTTTACCCTATCCCTGCCTCTTGAATCCGCGCCTGATAGGTAGGGCTGGGCAATTATCAAAATAAATAATCGAATAATCTATAATTATCGATTAATCGAAAATAATCTATTAATCAAAACTCGATTAATAAGAACTAATCGAATATCGATTAAAAAATATAATGGATTATTTTGCACATCCCTGATAGGCTGGAATGTTGCTTCTCTATAATTCCTCTCGTTTCTTGACCTAAGCTAGTATGAGACCACAATAAGAGTAAATATGTATCACCAACAATGTAACACATTAAAATAAGTCAATACATTCTGGCCAAAAGACCATTTGGTGCTAAAATTTGATATTATTTTGTATATGAGAAAAATAAAACTGAATAAATGATTTTAAACCATTTATTTTTGAAAATGTATTAATTTTATTGACATTTCATTTATAAAAACTACTGTACAATAATTTGTCACTTTAATAGAATTCAAAAACAGAAAATATAATTATTGTCAACTTTCTAAAATTAGATGAAAAAATTGTCATTTGACAGTTTAATTAATCACAATGTTTGATAATTTTTAATGTTAAGAATAATTGAAAACTGGCATATGCATGTTTTCAAAAGAAAAAAAAATATTTATCCAAGTCTAACACTTTTTGTGTAAATTCCCAGTTTCAAAGACTCTATCCATTCAACATGCCAAGATGATTCAAGTTGATCCTGAATTCTAGTTTTAGTTGCTTTATGTATCTGATCTTCTAACTCTATTTGTTTCATATTATGAACAGTAGTCTCTAAGTAGTAAGGCAAATAATTGGATTGCATGTCGGTAGTAAAACTGGTAACAATTTGAGAAGATTTAGCCAACCAATCCATAACAGGATTATTCCAATAATCCCATGTTACATTTTGAATGTCACTGGTGGTATCTTCATAAGTAGTTGTGTTAGTATTAATAGAAGCAAGTAGAATACTTGTTTTTAACATATCCACTACTGTTTGAATCCTTGCATGTGTTTTATTAATTTTTATGTTATCTACATCAGTCTTTAGGGTATAATCAGGTTTCCAGGTCAATTGTGTAACAGTTTCCAATTTCTCTATTTTTTTAACGTGCAAGCTTGTTCCAGGTACTTTACTTGTTAAAAATACAGATCCTACTATTGTTAAAACTCCTGCTAGATAGGTTAAAGCAAGTATAACAGTAATAGCAGTTATACAGTGTATTATATTTTGTATCTCTATTGTTGATGATAAAATATTGAGCTCTGTATAAGTAAAGTTACCCCTAGATCTGCCTTGCTTTATAGCTAGAATAAATTCTAGTTCTTGAAGCTTGGAATTGAATTTTTTGTCGCTTACAAAAATCTCCCAGTTCTGAAAAAAGAATAGTTACTCATCTAAAAACATAATAGAAACTATACTTACAATAGCACTAAGGAACTCCTTTTCAAGTCGTATCAAATCTTTAATGTTCAGACCTCCAGATGCAGCCCATTCATCCAAAAACACTTCATCTCCTTCTCCATCGTCAAAAAGAAATTTACAAGAAACCATCTAAACATAATTCAATTAATAAACAATAAACATATTTGGTTAAATAAAAAACGTACCAATGAAACAAGAAACAAATCAGAGGGGCATATTTTTTCCAGGTACTGAGGATTGCAAGTTTTCAATCTATCCAAATAAAGAAGGGCCAAAACCAGAGAGCATGGTGCCACACAAGCATTCCTAGATATTTCTGCTGCTTTATAGCAATGAAGTCTATCCAAAGATTTGCCCTTTTTCGTTTCTGAAAAAATGTCTGCTGCGAATTCTAAAAACAAATTTTTATTCAATATCAAATCTCAACTGTGAATTTTTAATTTCATCAGTTTTCCTTTGACATATCAATGACAAGGAGAGGTTGCCCTAAAGCACTGTAAACAAATTCCAGGCTTGTCTTTGTTCAGCAATATTTCTGTGTTTATAAAATAACAAATTTGCACTTTTAATAAAAACAAAAATAAATTCTAGAAACTATGCTGCATATACCATAATATAAACAAAATATAATCTAAAAAGATATTTGTTTAGATTACAAAACTGAAACATTTAATATAATGTACAATTAATATGATGAAACTTTTTTTGTGGCCGTTAGATGTTTTCCATTTAGCCAATAATGTAATTTAATATTGTCCTTTCATTACTTTATTAAACCTTTAAACCTTCTCTGTTAATAATCACTAACAAATCAATATATTTTTATGAATTAATAAATCACTTCTTTTACACAAAATTGTCTTCAAATTTGAACAAAATGTTTTTAAAGGTTCCCAATTTTCTATTTTAGCAGTACAAGTATTAACCTATTACAAACAATCTACATTTAAAACATGTTTCGACATTTTAAATGTTTATTTACATCAATTTTGCTCTTTGACATCAAAATAATAGAAGTATTAAAGGCTCATCTTGGTAAGAATATCAGATTCAATTGCTTATTTATTAAAAGATCATTAAAAAAACATGATCAAAAACACAAAAGATATAAAGGGCAATATACAAGCAATGTTCAATGATAGCTGCCATTCACATAGTTTAACAAATTCAAACAATTGGTGTTCTGGTTTCTGATTGCTTTAAATGCTTGATATACAACACAAGGCATCCAAAGAAGTTACAAACATTTGAGCAATCATATGGAACACGTCTGCTACACAAATTGAGACATCTTTAGTAAAAATTGGCTAGCCAGGTTTTCTATCACATAAAACAACAAAATAGGACAGTTGAAGTTGAAACAGAACAATCGCCAAATTCAGGTTTATAATAATTTTATAGTACCCCTTACACCTTTTGATATATGTTTCAAGCTTCTATTTTTTGGAAATATTAGGACATTGAAAATATGAAGATAATAACGATTAAAAGTATACAGTATTTCTAGTATTAAACTAGTTATAATTGTATTTTCTTTAACTGATCTTATTGCAAAATTTGTGCCATATTGGAGACAGCTGTAACTTCAAAAAATTGTAACACACTTTAAACTTGTTTTATATGTAGTTATTCCGTTACTATATTATTTGGAGTTAGCTGATATAATATATTGAAACTTTTGCGTATTAGATAAGTTGTGAAACATGTTGCAAATAATTATCAGTAGCAATGAAGATATAGTCGATATTTACCGGTCACAGGCCAGCTTAGACAATCAGTTTTCGGCAATTTTCCATAATACAAAGTCTTCGTAATCCTCGATAGATACTTTTTATGATCACCATTCTAAAAAAACAAAGTAATAAAATTTTGGATAAGAAACCTTCTGGATGAATTCCTACCATGTAAAGTTTATCAGAAGAGTTTTTAAATATTTTAGACATTTCACATTAAATTTAATATTTCTTTTCTTTATTAGAAGAAACGAAACTAATCTTTAAGGTCCAAATATAATTTAAATCAACTGAAAAATCAAAAATCTCAAAATATTTTAAGATAAGACGTCAATTCTGTCAACGTCAACACCCAATACAATTTTAAAAAGAAGAAGAAATTATATTCTTCGTAGAGATGGGTTGCTATTTCACAGTAGCAGGTTTTGTCACTGCTTTTCACTTGTCACTGGAACAAAGTGCTCCACGACTCACCGAAAAGTTGTTACTTTTCGGAGCAGGTTCCGAGAAAAAAGGAAAACGATATACATTCTTATTTTTTTAAATTCTTTTTTATAGACTTATTTTGTCTATTCATATTCAATATAAAAAAATGGCATTCAAAAATTAGAAACACTTTTGTTGAAATAGAAACAGAATGCAAAATGTTAATATTTAAGTAGTAACTCAATAAGTGAATCCCCGATGTAACTAAAGACAAAATTAATAATATCAATCATCTTCTTATTTACTTTTTCCCTGGCTGTAAGGTCCATTTGATAAGTTCTAACCAATATTCAAGAAAAGAAAATAATTAAATGTGTTTTATACGAAATTATTAACTCCATAATCATTAATTTATAGATAGAACAATTTTACTAAACACAGATAGCCATAAAAAACATTTCGTTATCCCCATGTGTGAAATATGAAAATTATCTAAAAGATGCTCCAAAAAATAGCAGTATTTTGTCACTGCTTTTTTGTTGTAGCAGAAGCGGTTGTCACTGCTTCTGAAAAATAGCTTGCTTTACCCATCTCTAATTCTTCGTTTTTAATGAAGATATTATTAATCTTTACGTTTGTGGCAAATAAGTAATCATTAATAGGGTCTCTTTTCTATTTTGCGATGCGTTATTGTTGTCCAAAAGCAGACGGACAGTGATTTAGAGAAATAATGACCTAAAATTAAAGTAACCTTTTTAGAAGTAATTATTTAAATATTGCCAACTTTATTTTGAATATCACTTTATATATATTTGTTTGAAAAATTATAAGAACGTAATCGTACGTCTTATTTAAAATTTGAAATTTCAACTAAACAATTTCCACCGACCTTGATATTAAACTGGATGGCTATATGACATAAACCCTAATCCTAATTTCTAAGCCGACAAGGGTGAAAACAACGGTCGGTGCGCATGACAATTTGGACGCCAGGCTGCCAATTTCGACATTTTACGTCACATTGCCTACGGGCATATTACGATAAGTTATATTATTTTTTATTAATAACGCGCTATTTTATAATAATTATTATTATTGGAACACATTTGTTTCAGATGCGTATTAATCAAAAATAATTTTTAAGTGATTTTCCTAAATTAAAAGGTGTCGTAGTTGAATGTAATAAGTATTAAATTTAATTTTGATGTTCCTTTTTAGTGCATTTCGATACGCAGGTGTGGGTACCACAGTGTCAAATATCACCTCGCTATGTGGCTTGATTTTGTTATACAGCTTTGTTCTTCTAGTTTAATATATAGTTCAGTGATCTTTTCACTGAACGTAAATTCTGCACCGAGTTAACACTTCTATGTAATCTATGTCACTCAATGGGGTATTAATTTTAACATAAGGAAATGGTAAATACTTATTTTCAAGTTAATATATCCAACAAGATCAAACACGACTTGGCATTTTTTTAATAATATTTTAAAGAAAAACCAAATAATGGGTCTTTTCCTTTGCATCGAAAGTGTAGCGCAGAACTTTGCCACTTTTGAGAAAATAGTTCCATCCATATAATTTGTATCTACGAACCGTCTAGTAAAAATAAGTTTGCTTGAATTGTCATTAGATAAGAGGCCAAATTATTAAATTAGAAGAAAAGATAAAAGAGAAGATTACTGTCAATAGTGTCAATTGCTGTTTACCTTTTTAAGGAGGGCAATATTTTAAAAAAATCTTATATTTTTATTTGTTAAAAACTTAAAAATGCCCGTAAAATGCGATTTGTGTAACAAAGAATTTAGCACTGTTGGTAATTTAAATAAACATAAAAGGGGTGTACATAATATCGAAGATAATATTATACAATCATATGATTTTAACACCAATGTTTATAAATGTTTAGAGGGCTGTAATGTATCTTGTAAGACTCATGCCAATCTTATTCAGCATCTAGAGGAGATACACAACATTATTATTAAAATTAGAACCCTGGAATTTAAACAGTACAGAGGTATGTACCTATAATGAAATTTTAGATATCTTTATATTTTGTTTTTAAAAACATGTTCTATAGCAGCAGTTTCACTGCCAATATAGATAGTAAGAATTAGAAGGCTGAAGATCTATGTTGATCAAACCTATAGAGTATTTTACATTAGAAAAAATATTCATCAATTGGTAACAGTCCAGTCTGTTAAGAAATATTATCGTTATTTTGATGGACTATATATCTGCTGCAGAATCATGCAATACTACTCCATTCTTCATATCAGTTAGTTCATCTAATTAATGACTCCAATTTTACTAATTATACAATATTGAAATATTAATATTAAAATCTACATTTAATTAATTCCAAGAAATTGGTAGGGACTAGGGACCTATTTAATAAATAATCATTTTTTTTATTATCTTGGAAAATAATTGTAAAGCAGAGATATGATAAACTTAAAAAGGGAACTGATTCACCCCAAAACAAAGGCTCTAGAATTAGGGTTAAGCTACATACAATACATTTGCACACAAATAACATTTTAAAAAACATTAAAAAACAAAAAGAAATAATGTCCAAGTCTAGCAACATTTCCTCTTCGTTTCAATAGAGGCTGAAGGCTGTAGAGCAGATATTAAAATATAATTAAAGTTGGTTTGGAATCAATTAGTTATGCAATAGTGAGGTACTTAACCATATAGAGAAAAAACATGAATCGCTAGATAATATAGTTCAAAGTCAACTTAGGTATTTTAAGATTGAATTTAAGGAAAAGGTAATGTTCAAACAAATTAAAATATTACTCAAATTTGATAACAATATATAAATTTACTACAAATCAAGAGAAAAAAAAATTCTAATAAATGTTTCAGTTAAATATCATAATAAAGAATTAATTATTAAGGGAAGAAATTCAAAATCTAAAGAAAATGTACAATTTAATTTAATAAAAAGTAGGTAAAGACATTGAATAAAGCACTGCACTAAGATTCAAATAGCAAGAAGAAAAAATTATAAATGTATTTCTGTACTCTACTAATATGGTAAATGCAAACTGACGTCTCAGTTTCAAAAACTTGTACAGAATCATATTAATAACTGATAGATACAGTGTTAAGCAAGCAAACGAAAATAAAATAAAAAAAAACAAATTTATTAATATAATTCGGAACACTCTCCTAAATTGGTAATTGCAAACTAGATAGTTTCAAATACTTATCCCAAATTATACTAACAAACAAAGAGAAATGTAAAGAGAAAATCATATTAACTAGGAAATTAGGTAGAATTTTTTTTTTAATAAAAAAAATACTATTAGTAACTGAATACATATTACTAAAAATTAAGGTAGCTATTACAGACAGTATTGCTTTAAAAAAAAATAAGCAGTAGCAGACAGTTAAAAGTTAGAAGGTAATGTCTGGTCTGACTCATAAATATTCCAATGGTGTTAAAGGAAATAATTGACTACAGGCAGTATTACTTGGTCGTGTAGGTAATAGCAGAACAAAAAGCTAGATACAATATTCTGGCCTGACATTATTTATGAAAAATTTAGCAATATTTTAACTTATTAAAAGGAACGGTATGAACATCAAGGAAGGAGATATAATTCTAAATTACAGAATATATTATTCACTGTCAGAGGTATCATTATTAATGTTAGGTATGACTTCACTATCATCATCCTCAGATAAATCGTTATCAACATCAACGAAACTTTTTTTTAAATCAGAGACATTGTAATTACCTAAGTCTTTTCCATCTAAGTCTTTAATATTGTACACTAGTTTAGAGAGAACCTTATGTACTATACACGGAGTGGATTTAGGTGCAAACCTATCATTAAAATTATTAATTTTAGATGATAACACAAAATTCTTTTTCCATAATCTATCACCAACATGATATTCCACATCTCTTTTTCTTAAGATATACTGAGCTTAAATAAGAATATATTTTTTGTTATTTTTTTTAAGTCAAAATGGTAAAACCTCAAAGATACATGTATAAGAAAAAAGTGCACACACAGTGCTTTAAGTACAATCGTGCACTAGAGTAGAAGTTTTCATTTTAAATATTATTTAGAGGGTGACTTCAATTTAGGAATTAAGTAGTTAAGTAATAGAGTGACTTATTTTCTACTGTTCCTATAGATAATTTATTTTCTCTTGTTCCTATAGATAATTAATTATATTACTGTTTAATATAAATGTAAACTACTACATAAATAAATAAAATAAATAAATATTTACAATTTCTATCATAGGCTGATTTAAGTTTTTTCCTAACATCAATAAACAATTTAGGTAAGTATTGTGTGTCATCGATACGTTGTAATTTTTCAGACACTGACGGAATGTTATTAGAATTATTTAAAATTAAACAATAAAAATCTCCAGAAAAGGGAACGTTACGAGCAAAATTAAGGAAGGATAGAGAATGACTTCATGTCTGGCTGTATTTATGGATTGAACTACTCTAGGCAAAAATAAAACCCAAGAACGGTGATTATCATGTATATAACAGCGAAGTGCTGAGACAATTGTCTTATTGGTTCTTTCAGTATGATTAGCTTGAGGATGATAAACAGGATTGTAAATTATTTTCTGAACTTTGTATTTGTCCATCAAAGCTTTAAATGTCTTCCAGGTACAACAGTTTTCCAATTAGTTAAATTTGATATCAAAGGATTGTGAGAAAAAATATGTTTATACAAGATTCTATTTTCAACTTTGAAAGAGGGATATTTTCCAGGACATGAATCAACTTTATGTAACATAGATTTATACCATTTGTCAGGTTTAAATTCTGCAACATCTAAGATAGAAATCTCATTAACTGAACGACTTAAAGAATCACTCACTGTCATCTACAATTAGACAATTGCATTATACAGATTTTTGTTTCAGATTTTGAAATATGGAGGAACGTAGAAGAAAGGGATAAAAATGTACGATATACAAGATCTTCAGGATCACATTTATGCAATAATAAAACTACTAAAAAACTATACTATGAGTGTTATAGGTCAGGTAATGTATCTTGTAAAGTAGCATGTATTTTGTTAACAGATATTAGGTACAAAACCATATTAAGTGTAATAATTTAAATTTGTGATTAAATTTCTTATACTTTCTTCAAAGCGAATCATAGTCATCTAGGCAAATTTTTGAGAAATTATGTATAGAACTTACTTAATGACTGATCCACGATAGATCTGAAAAGGTTGAAGTGGGGGAGGTTACATAGCCCACAGTCCTAACGATATCTAATTTACTTATTGGCTAACTAAATTATTAGAACAAAATTTTACTTACATACATTTTTAATAGAAATATAAAGAAAACTTCAACTTACAATAAGTGCTTTTCAGTTTTTTTATGTAATTTTTTTTCTGTCATGTGATCTTTGTTTCTGCTTTAGTACGGATCCAATCTCTAATGGAATCTGTAGATACGTTATATATACTCGAATACCATGGCTAGCGGTTGTGTGAGATAAGCATTTTGAGTTTTTATTTTCTTGGTAACATTTGCGTTTAGAATTATTTCTTTCTGTATTAAAGAATGTTTAAAGTATGTTCCATTTTAGGTGGGAAACGAAGATCAGATGTCATGAATAGAAAAAGAAAATTAAAAAAACAAGGTTCTGTGAAAATGGATAATTACTGCACTAGCAGAATAATTCTATCCAGAGAAATAGAAACTGGCATATGCCTAGCAACATACTTTGAGACTCACTATGGACACGAAAATGATTTAGAGCATTTAAGACTGTCAGATGATTTAAGAAAATCCGTTGCTAGTCAATTATTGGCAGGAAAAACTCATAAAGAGTAAGTTTCAATTTTTACAATTTTTAGCCTTTTTTACACATTATCAGTAATAATTTTCTGCAAATTTAAAATGTTTAATTTGAGATTACTTATTTTTCGTATTTTTAAGAAGAACCAAATGTATCTAATGTTGAATTATTTTACAGAATTTTATTATCTGTTAAAGACCACCAAGTCACACAACAGAGAGATCTACTATTAAAATCCAAAGACATCATAAACATAAAAAGATCATTTAACATTGTAGATGAAAATTTCCATCCAGAAGAAACAGTAATATCAGGAAGTTACTCTAGTGAAATAAAACTGCGACACGATTTAGCCATAATAAGTTCTTACAGAGTCGATTACAAAGAAAAACTGTTTTATGTATACTCTTCTGATGATGAGTGTCCATATATAGTAACGGCACGACCAGGAGAACCTTGTTGCGAATTAAAATGTGTTTACTGTAATATTTGTGTTCACAAATTTGAATGCACTTGTAAAGACTTCATGAAGAGGGCCTTAATTTGTGTGCACATACATTTCTGTTTTTTAAATAAAACAAATATAATAAATGGACTTTATCACTACAAAGAGAAAGGTGTGAAGAAAAATCCAATTGATCTTGGTAAAAAAGAAAGTTACTGTGATGCACAAACAAATGAAAATGTTATAGAAACACAACCAAATGATCCAAGACCTCCAGATGGAATAAATGAAGAAATATTTGAAGTAGACCAACCACAAGAGATACCAATGGAACAAAGTGACACAGTAAGGGAGTCCAGTGACAACGAATCGATACATAGTGATTTAGACAGTGATAATGTACAATCAAAAAGATCAAAAATTCGTGAAGCTTGTTTGAAACTTCTTCATAACATTGAAACAAAGTCGTATACAAGTGCCGAGGAAAACTTTATTCATTATCAATTAGGAATTTTAAATGCGATAAAAACAAGTAGTGAACATAATATAGATGACAGCTCTAAGAGAAAAAGTTCTGATTTAAATTATTGTACAGTTGAGGAAATAAAAATTGTTTTAGTGGATGAATAAATTTTTATTGAAATGTTTATGATTTATAAATAAAGTTATTGTATACATTTTATATATTTTTTATGTTAACACTATTTTGATACGATTTACTTAATTTTAAGTGAATCTAAAAGTATGGTTGCGTACCTATATTATTTTGCTGAACGACTTTTGCGATATAATTGGCAAAATATGGAGGTTTTATAGTGTAGCTACATCGGAAAGGATAAACTAAAATAAATTCTTAAGTTTGTTTGGATATCGTATTATACAACATCGCTGTCGTCATCATATTTCTTACATTTGAAAAAACCGTACGACTTTTTCAGTAATTCTATATAAAAATAATATCGTTTAAAATACCGGGCGGTATTTTCTAAGAGAAAATCGAGCGATTTCATTGAGACGAAATATTCATTTAATAGTTTCTTTTATCACCCTACTGTTTGAATTAGTAGAATTGACGTTCACTATTCTTGCATAAATATAGATTACCTATTAGGAAGTCGAGCGATTCTTGATAATTTTTCTGTCTTTCTGGGTATATTCACTGAAGAACGTGCGTTATCCCTTTTGAATACCTTTTCAGTAATTCTTTATAAATATAATATCTTTTAAAATACCGGGCGGTATTTTATAAGAGGAAATCGAGCGATTTCATTGAGACGAAATACTCATTTAACCTTGTCTTTACGATCGCACTCATTTAGACGTTCATTATTCTTGCATAAATATAGATCATTAGGAAGTCGAGCGATTCTTGATGATTTTTCTGTATTTATACAGGGAAGAACGTGTGTTATCCCTTCTAAATACTGAAAAAATCGTTGGATTTTTTCAGCATTTCTATACAAAACTAATGTGTTTTAAAATATGAGAACAATTACTCTTTTAACTTTGTCGTTTATGATCCTACTGTTTAAATTACGCAGAATAGACGTTTGCTATTCTTACATAAATATAGATCATTAGGAATTCGAGCGATTCTTGATAATTTTTCTGTTTCAATGGATTTATATATATATATATATATATATATATATATATATATATATATATATATATATATATATCTATCCTTTCTAAATAAAAAATTTAAATAATTTCCTTTGATTAATGAAGGGTAAAAAAATACATGCGATTTTTTCAGTGTTAAAAATTATGTGCAGTGAGGTTTTTCCTAAGCGGCACTTAAAAGCAATCGAGCGATTTGTGATTTTATTAAGACGAAAAAATATTATCTTGTATTTAATGATCCTACTGTTTGAAGAAAGCAGAATATAGATGTAAAGAACATATCATTAGAAATTCTAACGATTCTTGATGATTCTTCTGGGTTTCATTGTAAATTATTATAAAAACAGAAAATACATCCAGATTGCAATGATATAGAAGGAAAGACTTAAAGAAATCCACTCGAGTTGTCCGTAATTTGCAGAGAGTAGAGAGTTTTGCTGCGTTTGAGAATCCACATCGGATGCATTTTTTACATCTCGAGCGTTTTTTATCCACATCTGTCCCATTACATTTACGTATACTGAATCACGTGATCAAAGATTTACTACATCTCAGATGCATCCGATGTGGATTCTCAAACGCGGCATTTGTATCAGTGTTGCCAGTCTAGTACAACTGTACTAGATCTAGTACATTTTCTAAGAATCTATTACACGCCAAATTACATGCCAAATTTTTACATAAATAAAGCCAGTCTGATTAGAAACACGCTCCAGTCTGCTTGATATTTCGAAATATTTAACAAATTGTTAGGAAATGACTTATGTCAAAATTAAAATTGCTAATATATTAATGTTAGTAGTAAAAAAAATTCTATATATACCTCCGCTGAGAAAGCTATTATTTACCTCGCACATTATATCCCTCAGCGCTACGCGCCTCAGGACATAAAAGTGCTCACTTCTCACCCTAGGTATATAATGTACTATTATCTATGATTATACTACTATTAAAGCACTTGTGTACATAGAATTGCCTAACAACACGGCGATATTTATATGTAGAACAAAAGTAAAAGTTGGAAATGCTTTTGCCAGTTCTCCCACTTTATACACATAAATTGACAGGTTGGCACCGGATCTCACCGAAGTGGACGCGATACATTGGCGTACAAAGTTATTTATAGATGTTAATAACAATTTCGAGTAAATAGTTTAATAAATTGTGAATAGCTGCTGAAATTTTGTAAAATTATAATTTGAATATTATAATACATGTTTAATAATTATTTATAATCCATAAATACATGCGATTGTCCGGTTCCGCCGATAACAATTTAAAATTACTTATTCTATGAAACGACACTGGCAGGTAAACATTACTGTGAAATTCTCGGAGCCGCCCGACGTGGTTTGACGTTTACCCCCTCTCTACCTACCAAAAGACTTTTCAACTTTTACTTTCTCTATAGCATAATCGAAATGTGTAAAGCAATATGGATTTTCCCGAGTATATAAATAAACGCTGTCTTCTTTTTTTTTATTTTACGAAAGTGAGACAAATTTTTTTGAGTTTGATTAAATGTTGAATAAGTTTGAATAATTTCAGTTAGACATTTAGATAATTTCGGATAATTTCGAATAATTTGAATTCGAAAACACAAAGTTTTTAACTTTGCATTGATTAATATGCATAATAGTGTAAAACATGTGCTAAAAACTAATTTTCCGAGATTTTCGCTAGCTGAAAAATGCCATGTTAAAGGCCTACTTCCGATTTAAAAATTACTCGGGCAGACATAAGTTCAAAATGTCCATAGACAAGACGATTATCAAGTCAAGTGTGTAATAAGAACAAGTTGATATGTGTTTTAACGAATTAGGCAAGTGTTTTAACAAAATAGATACTAATAGTTTTACATAGCATTGACAATTTTGATGAGAAAGTGGTAGAACACAAGCATGGGCGTCGTTACATAATTCTATAGGGAGGGGCAAAATTAAAAAAAAATTAGAATGTTTATTTGTTGGAAAACAAAGAAAATGAAAAATAAAAGAGAATTTTCTTATGATGGATTTAATTATTCTGTGACGTCATGGCTTACTTCTGGTTTTTCCAGAAATAACAGAAAATCGCAATTTATTTTTTATCTTTAAATGAAAACCCTTTTTCTTATTGAAAATTTTAATTTCTGGGATATTTTTGTATAAGAAGCGTGTATTGAAAATTTTCTGTCAGTAACATATTAAAAAAAATATTTTCCAATATGATGGTCATTTTGAAGTTGACAGAAAATTTTTAACACATGATTCTTATCCATAAATGTCCCTAAAATTAAAATTTTCAATAAAAACAGAGGTTTCTATTTAAAAATTAAAAATAAATTGAGATTTTCTGTTATTTCCTATGAAACAGAAGTAAGCCATGAAGTCACACACCAATTGAATCCAGTATATGAGAGTATTTGTCCCAAGCTTTTAAACAAATAAGTTTTCATTCCAATATCTCAATTAACAACGAAGATAAAAGCGGATGGAATTATTAAACGGTTTGCTAATAATAAAAATGCTTAGATATATCACTGGTATACGGTAAATGGATCTTAATGGGAATTTTGTAGCCTAAAAAGATTTTATAAAGTTCGTACATTTCTATATTTTTTCCATAAACGAATTATTAGTAACATATTAAGAAAAAATATTATCCAATATGGCGGCCATTTTATCAGCTGACAGAAAATTGTCAATACACGATTATTATACAAAAATGTCCCAGAGATTTAGATTTACATTAAAAAAGAGGGTGTCATTTTAAAATTAAAAAAAAATTCGATTTTCTGTTATTTTCGGAAAAACCGGAAGTTAGCCATAACGTCACAGAACAATTGAATCCATTATAAGAAAGTATTCGTTCTAGTCTTTCAAACAGAACTAAATTATTCCGATATCTCACTGTATAGCGAAGATAAGGAGGAGTGGAACTTTAGTAGTAACCCTCTGACCCATTTGACAGAACTGATACTTAAGTTGTCCTAACAAGTCTAATAAATAAAATAACCCAACAAAAAAGACAAAAACTAAAACAGAAAAAACAAGAAACTTAAAACACTTTTTTAAAAAACAAACAGAGGGTGTGATATAAAAGAAAAATATGAACAAGAAGACACAGTCCTACATAATAATATAAAAAAAAAATTATAAAAAAAACAAAAACTCACTCAAACACGACGATAAATCTTTTTTCAGTCAGCCTATTTTCATTCATTATTCGCTCCGTGCGCGACAGCAGCGCCAACTATTTTATGAACTAACGGACGATATTTGCGTATACTGACAATACAATTTTTAATAGAGTTCGTAATTGAAAAATATATATGTTAATTTTAATAAAAGTATATGGATTTGTAAAACAAGTGAAAAAATTATTATTATTATGTCATGTGCAAACGGTTAAACAACTTGAATAAAAATAAAAATGAATAGATAAAGAAATTTAAATTTGAAAATATTAATAATACTAATAATATGATTTAGCAAGTTGTAAATATCCCGAAATATCTAATTTTGGGAGTGAGGATGACCAGGAACTTGTTGGATACATTGTGGACAATAAGCACTGATGATGGCTAATAAGCCGAAAGCGCTTTGCATTTATTAAGTAAAAAGTTTTGCACGAAATACAAGTCTTTCCTTTTGAATATTATTATATATTTTTATTACTTCAGTTGAAAAAAAGTAGTATAATCAATAAAAATCAATAATAAATAATAATAAAACAGGCAGGTATTTACTAGAAAATGTAAGAGATTTTGGCCTAAGCCTAATAAGTTGTCATTGAAGAATAGGTTAAATAATGTCAAAATAAAAACATTACCATTATATAATAACGTAGAATTAAAACGTATTAACAAAAATAATTGGTATATTTGCGATTGTAATTTATATTTTCTTCATTTTTAGTTCGAAAGAACCCATAGAAATTAATGATAAAAACTGGTTTCCTATAAATAAGTTACAAGATTGCATTTCAGCCATAAAAACTAATCAAAGGCAGAAATCTAATCATTTGCTAAATATTTAAGATTTAAGGGATGTTGAAGAATATCATAAAATAATA